AAAGTGCCGGGACTAGGCTGAGGCTGGGCGGGGGTTGAGGCGGGGCAGGGCAGCCATGGGGGGTTCTCCCACAGCTCCCCCCGCCTGGGGAGAGGCCAGCACAGCTGGAGGAGTCGCGGGAGAACCTGCAGCCCCCGGCTTTGCCTGCCTCTCCCCGGCCGATCCGAATCACCGAATCTCTCTGAATCAGCGCCGCGTCTTCCGAAGCTGATTCTGCCGAATTGATTCAGGACAGCGACCAATCTCCGAGTCGAATCTCTGTCCTGCGAATCAGTTGAATCTGAATCCGAATCGAATACTTCTCAATTTGCACAGGCCTAATGACAACTTGATCTTAACGACACCTTTGTTGTAGTTGTGGCTGAGGACCAAGGAAGAATGGACCCCTGTTTTTGTAATGCTGTTTCTATCACCAGCTAGCAATATCTAGACAGAAATATCTGGTACTGAGGCCCTGATGCATAATACTGCCAGTGGTACACATGGTGTTCAATAGAGAAGGTTTGAGCCAGCAGGTGGTAATTGCATCTGGTGTGTGGTTTGTGGGGCCTGATGTGCTAAAGTCCAGGTGAATAACTTTTTGCCCACGTGACTATAACACTGACTTCACCAAGGCCACTTGTTTATGTGTTTACAGGCTCTCAAACCGCTGCCGCTTTTATTACATTGCATAAGCCAGTTAACCTGACTGGGTGTTTTGAGACCATTCCTGTTGTGATTAAAGGGTTTTCTATGTTAGAAGCTTAATTCCTTTTCAGTGAAGAGCGATAAAACAACTTTGGTGCTCAACTTTGGTGTTGTGTTTTTGAACCGAATTGCAGAATGTGAAGGCGAGTGTGTCCGAGACCCCTGCGGTACCACCAGTCTCAGAAGATGAAGATGATGAGGATGATGCTGCTCCACCCCCAGTAATAGCTCCACGTCCCGAGCACACAAAATCGGTAAGCACGTGAACCATGTTAACTCCCTTCCCACACATTTCACTCCATCTGTACTAGATAGAGGGTCAATCTGCCCCAAGCCATGGGCTTTATGCCACTTCTGTCATGTTCCTGGGAGCAATGAACAAACTGTGATTCAGGGATCCAGTTCCTATTCGCTTGCTCAGGGGAAGGAATAATTTACTTCCAAATGAGCTGCTTCATGCTGTCACATAATGCTCTTGACTTGCTAAGGCTTTTTCATGTGGGAACGTTTCTTTCACTGCTTACAACATGCTACTACAAAGGAAATGCAGCTAGAGTATGGAGGTGGGGGTTTATTTTTAATCCTTCCTTTATTGAAATGTCTGTGTGTTTCTCCCAACACAACAGATATACACTCGCTCCGTCATAGAGCCCCTTCCTCCGCCACCCACCAGAGATGTGGCCACCTCTCCAATCTCCTCGCCCTCTGAAAACAGCACGACCCTGCCTGACACGCAGACGAGGAACGCAGAGAAACAGAAGAAAAAACCAAAAATGTCAGACGAAGAGATCCTGGAAAAATTAAGTACGTTGCCTTTTATAAAGTCCATGTTGCATTTCTGGGCAGGGATGTCCAGGGTCATTTCTGTTCCCAAAGCTTTAATGAGCAGAGATCCTGTGACAGTTACTTTTGGAGACTTCTTACTTAAGATGTCGCCCTAGGAGACTGTTCTGTCTGTGGTCTTCGGGCGCAAATGTAAGTGCTGAGAGGCTGATCTTCAGGCTTGCTGAGTACCTGTGATTCCCATGGGACCTAGAGCTGCTCAGACTTTGGAAACCAGGCCCTGAATATATACATATATTGAATGTTGAAGTTGTCCTAGATGTTGCTATTTTCTCAACTTGGGGCTGAGTATATTTAAAAGTGTCAGCCTCGAGGTGAGCAAAGCTGATTGGCATAATTAAAAAATAAATACTAAATTTAAATCCAGCAAATTTTAAATCTGGGGCACGCAGGGAGCGGATCACAGCTTTGCCCTGGGCCCCGGCCTCATGCTGTCATCGCCCCAAGATCCCAGCCCCTTCTGCCTGTCCATCCTGCTCCCGGGTGCTGCTCCCTGCCCACCTGTGGCCCCCTCCCATTCACCCAGCCATGTGCCCTGCCCATGCAGGCCCTGTGCCCAGTGGTGGGTGCAGAGCAGATGGGCTGGAGTGCCCCGGCAGTGGGGCTGGAGTGCCCTGGCAGTGGGGCTGGGTTCGGCGGTGGTGGTGGCAGTCAGGAAGAGCCCCACTGTGGGGACTGCCAGGAGGCAAATCTGGCTGCCACACCATCCCAGCCCTGCTGTGCACCTGAGGAGGCAGGACCAGTTTTGTGCGCCATGGCCCGGGTTGCCCCATGCACCTGGGCTGGGCAGGACCAAGGGACCTGCTGTGGGCTGGACGAAATCCCTTGGTGGGTCAGATCTGCCCCGCAGGCATATTTTGCCCCCCTCTGCAGTAGCTGCTTTGGAATATGTCTAGGACCATTGTCTCTTTATGTCCAAATGGTTATGACTTATTCCAAACTTATAAGCTTTTTAAAAAACTACTTAAGTTGTAACCTGGGTGCTTTTATTAGTTAAAGATACAGCACAATGAAACCAGCAGGAAACCCCCAGAAAACTACCAGCTTTTCTATCCTGTAAGACACTGACCTCTGCCAGCATTTACAAGTTTGCGTACAATGTAACGTGATAACTCGACAAAGGAGTATGTCACAGATACTAACCCTGTGATGAGGACCTCACCTTCTCTGGCTTTTAAACCATATCAATTAGATTTCTTGATTATTTTATAGCAATTGCATATCTGTCTGTGAAACACAAATATCGTGTGAAACATGGATTAACAGCCCAACTGGGGAAAATACATAGAGCTCAAAGATGACTAAGGTACAAGGGGACATCTCGTTATTTAGAAGTTGCCCCTTTCCAGGCCTAACATTGCAAACCCAAACTCCAGGGAATAGTTTGTGTTAATGTTGAGGGGCATGTTGCACAGCTCAGGGTTAATAAGACTGAGCCTTGAAGTGCTGTTGGCAAAGACATGAATGTCGTGCACCAAAAAGCATCTGTCTAGAACCACTTCACTAATCTAAGGAAATAGGAGTGAAACCCTTGCAAAGGCACTACAGCTGTTGCATGGCTGACGTGCATACATAATACAGCACTTTGTTTTAAGTAGCTATGTGTTCTGCATTTGGTCAGCGACACCTCCACAGCTGCAAGCTTTGGTTGTGGCCTGAAGCTTTGCCACATGTTAACTCCTGAGCGCGGTGCAGCCCAGGACGACCTCTGAGGTTGGTGGCACTAGGTTGGGCTAAAATCAGCCCTGGGGTAACTGGGTGAATTCCATTGAGGGCAGTCATGATGTGTAGGGGGAGCACAGGGGTGCACATGTGCCCCCTGAGGGCTCTGGTGCACCCCCTGACAGCAGCATTCCCTGCATAGGTGATGGGCAGGTGGGGCAGGCAGGAGTGGCGGTGCCAGGGCAAGTGATCCCTGTAGTCCCCCTGCAGCCGATCATGCTGACTGTGGGGTTCCCCTGTGGCTGATTACGCTGGCACTTCCATGTCAGTGCGATTGGCCGCAGGGGGGACTCCCCCCAGTTGCTGACTGGCCTCTGTGGGGGAGAGGTGGGGGGGCAAGTGCCCCCCTGACTCAGGAGGCACCAGTTGCCCATGACTGAGGGAATGGAGTTGTGCATCTGAGGTCTGACCTGGTAGTAGGACCTTCCAGTGCAGTGCAGGACCTTCTGACTAAAAATATACAGAGATTGAAAGAAAATGGTCTGTTTAAAAACCTCTTAGCACTTAGTTCTTCTGTTCACTTACAGAGCCCTTTTGCAAATCTCAATTAATCCTCAGCCTCCAGTGGGGGAGGGAAGAGTTGCCCCATTTTATTGAAGCAGAGATTAAAACCAGGGTTTTTGACGGTCCTGTCTGGGTTCTGTCATTGCCCAAATTCTGCACAGGGGCTGTGCTGCTGCAGCCTGAGCCCCTGGTGCAGACCCGAGGGAGGGGGAGAAGAGGGGTCTTGGCTGCTCACTCAGCAGCTCATCATCTTGGGAAGGAAAGCGTCACATCTATAATTGTGGTGTCAGTCCCTGTGTTTGTGTAGCTGGGCTCCCCTCCCCGCGTTCTCCCTCATTACCTCTGTCTGCCCCAGATCCTGTGGGTTTGGCCACTTTCCAGCAGCATCTGAAAATAGCTTGCTTTTTTTTTTTTTAGTTTAACATGGCTCGCCATTGGGTGCCTGGGCCTAATTACCATATGCAGAATATCTTTGCATATGCTAATCTGTATCTAGTTAATATTTCTGCTCAGCCCTGGGGCCCTTTTGGAAATCTCTCCATATGGTGATGGCTCAGGTAGCCTGCATGCTCCAACTTAGAAAACGCCTTTAGGTTCCCAGTTCCCATGTCCATCACGCAGGCGCTGTTCTAGGAGTTATTTGTACTTTTATGAGCCTTTGTTTCTTCTCTGTTTCTCGGTCTTGATTGGGGGAGCACCCATTCAGGCATCAGGCCACATTTGTATAGCCCCTTGGAAAAAAACATAACATAGATTTTTTTTTTTAATGGGAATTCACCTGTTTGTTTAATCACAGTATGGCAGGGAGGTGGGTCAGATTCAGCGAAGAGCCGACTGCCAGCGTGCTTGCTTAACACCTTTGCTGTCGGCCAAATGGGATATCCTGGGCTTGGGACCCCAGGCCCTCGGGCTCTGTAGCTTCAGGGCAGTCTGCCACAGCCTGTTTGGGAGCCAGGGCTCCAGCCCCTTTCATGGAGAAGTTGGAAACTTTGGGCATCCCTCCCCAATGGGAACAAAACCAAATCCTCTGTGAGATGGAATTGCAACCCCTGTCCTCGCCAGCTCTGTTAAATACAAGTCCAGCCCTGTATCTCAGCAATCTCCCTGGTGCGGAGGAAGATGGTAATGTGCCTCCCCAGCTCAGCTGTGACACAGGCAGAGATGAGCTGACATCGCTGTAAGAGACTCTGGCAGCACTGCTGAAAGTCTGCGAGCTGTGAAAGCTTGGAAAGCAGCAATCCCAGAGCAGCTGCGCAGGCCATGATCGACTGCATCTTGAACCTCCGCTTCTCAAACAGATGAGCTTCCTCAGCTATGGATAGTCATAACACTTAACCACTTCCAAAGGCAAAGGGTGTGTCAGCTCTCAGGCTGTAAGGGTTACATGCGCAAGCTGCAGTAGCGAGCTAATTCACAGTAAATGCAACTGCTATTGGAAAAGTTGAAAGTTGCAATAATTTTGATGCACCTGTTTAGGTACAGGAGCCAGCATGCATAAGTCACATCATAATAGCTGATATGTGTGCCATTTAATGTAGATATCTTTGTTACATCTGTGGGTACCCCTAGGAGAACACCTAACTGCCCCATCTTTGGTAAAGTCCCTCCTGTAAAGTCCCTAGCAGGGGTCCTGGGGCCCAGTTTTTAGGACGATTATAGTGACACTGTGTTGGTACAAAAGGGCTACAAAAGGCAGATCTGGTCAACTGGACCCACCACATCATAGAGTATCCAAAAATATCGGCTCCAGACCAAGTTGCCTCTGAGCCCCCAAGCAAGCAAAAGGATGTGACTGGAGTGCGTCTAGGAAAAGAGCTTGTGCATCGTATTCCAGCAAAGTTGCCTCTACAGACTCTTTCTTCCTAACGAGCTAGATCTCTTGAGCCTGGGCTCTGCAATGAATGCCATACTTCTAAACTTTTGCAGGATCCTCTTGAAAGTCTGCGGGTGTCTGTGTGCTTGCGGGGCGGGTCTGTACAATGTTCTGTCTTTGCTTGGGCTCCCGGGGTGTAAGTAGCATTGCCTCTTGCATTGATACGGAAAGAGAACTGTTTTTAACCTGGTGTTTTCTCCTGTTTTCAGGAAGCATTGTGAGCGTGGGTGACCCCAAGAAGAAATACACGCGCTTTGAAAAGATTGGACAAGGGTTAGTGTATGCCTCCCATCCCACCTCTTTTCATGCACTGTCAGCATAAGGAAGGCAGAAAAGCCAAGCTGGGTTTGTCTTCTGGAAACACTGTGATGTTTTCCTTCCGCCTTCTCTTCCCTCCACTGGCATACTCTTGAGTCATGATGACTGGGGCTTTGCATGATTGTGTTTAATATAAAAATATATATCATTAGATGATCTTGTTGCTAAATATACCAGGGTGTAAGAAAGAACCACTTATTTTCTCTGAACAAAACAATTTTCAAATTATAGATTTGCTTTCAGAATTAACCCTCTATGCTCAGGCCTGGTTTTGCATTCCCCTCACAGGGGTGTATGTGTGTATAGGGCCTCTTGGAGAGGTGATCTGAATCCTTCGTTTACTGAAAAATGACTTAGTTTTTGAGGCCAGTTGTCAAACCACTGTAACAATTATTTCATCTCTGGTGAGCCTGCAGAGTGCATACTTTCCATATAAAGTATTTGGACTCAGCCCTTCCCCATAGCTATTAAAGGCAGTGGGAGATTTGCCACCGACTCCGGTGGGTTCAGAATCATGTTCTCTCCCCCAGTGGCCACATCTCTCTTGATCTGGTCTGCCCTGCCATCGTTATCATCTTGGGGTAGCCTGGACACCAGGCCTGCTGCAGTTGTGCCACTTTTAGGTTGAATCAAACTAGGTTCTTCACAGTGTTACATAACTGGAGTCACTGCCACTATCCCAGAATATGGTGTGATTAATTAGACCGTGGTTAAGACTAAGACCAAGACCATAACCATGTCAGGAGACTGTTGTGTTTGTAGTTGGTTCCCTGGCAATCGTTTTAACCACTGAGATTTGTTGTAAGCATTGCAGATTGTTATTTATACTTGGAAATGTGTGTGGCAGAGTTGGAAGGAAATATGCATTCTAGAAAGTTTTATAGATTCAAAAAAGTGTGTGTGTGTGTGTGTGTGTGTGTGTGTTTCTGACTTTCACTCTTTCATTCTAATAATGTCTCTCTTTTTTTTTTTCTTCTTACCCCTTTCATCCTTGCTTAGAGCCTCAGGCACAGTTTATACTGCAATGGATGTAGCTACGGGACAGGAGGTAAGAGCTACGAGGTCGCTGCACCCAGTTGCTTGGAATCATGCCCTAAAACAGGGGTGGCCCATTTGTGGCACGTGGGAGCAGGGAGCAGAAAGCAGAGCAACAGAATGGGCAGGGGAAGGGGATTGGCGTGGCACTCGGAGAGGGCAAGGCTTAATTTGTGATCCCTACTGCCCTAAAAGATCTATCTAATGCTGTAAAATAAGGACTTTCTTTCAAGGGTACGTGATGATTTAGCTTCCAATCAGAATGATTATTTGGGGGGTCCTGTGCAGCATGGGCTAGTAGACTGAGCACAGAACAGTAGGAACTAAGAGTGTCCAAAGTCTGCTCCAAGCATCCTTCTCATCTGGAGGGTTTTCTCAGCACCCTGGGAAGCTGGAAGTGCATTCATGTACATGTGAATATAGTCATGATATTAACATATAGCCTTTCCGAGCAAATCCTGTCCTTCTCCTGTATCACCTACGTTGACTCTAAATGACAGAAGCTGAGAGGACTCCTGCTTCCCCTTCCCAGTCTGTGTCCACTTGCTTGTCTCTCCTTAAATTGAGAGCCCTGATAGGTAGGGAATGTCCCTTTCTGCACCTCCACAAATAGTCCTTATTGCATATTCATTATTCAAAATAATTTCTGGAAGTTTGTAGCATCACTGCTCCCTAGAACATGGATCTATTTTGCATTTATACAAAATCATGAATTATAGACCAGCAAACTTCGTAACTTCTGGCTTTTTTGCTGATGCTGTATTAGGAACTGCTAATGGGTGACATGAGAAAGTGGTAATACTGCTCAACTTCAGCTCTGTGTGAAGGGGGAGCTGTAGTGGCCAGTTTGTTTTCCTAAGGAATTGTAAAGAATTGCAGTAGTCTGAAGAATTATATAATGTGTATTTTATGAAACCCTTATGTTGCCTCTTAGGATTCAATACTTGATTTCCATATAGATATTTGCAGTCATTATACACCCTGTTACACCACAGACTTAAATAACTTCTGTCAGCTCCAGGTTGTCATCAATCTAGGCATGCTCAGGTCTTTGATTTTTAAATCTGCATCTCCTTCATTGGTTTATGCCAGAAGCAAGGGGTTTTTAATGATATTTTTTATTGGGCCAACTGTATAGTTGGGAGAGATGGTCCAATTAAACACATTGCTTCTCACATTTCTGGATCCTCATGGCTACAGTAACACTTCTCCCCTATCTTTCTACTCTGTTAACCTATTCTATGGTACGCGGAGTTCAAGTAGCTCTTTGTCACTGCTGTAAATCTTCCCTATTATTTTTAAGATCAATGAAAATGAAAGGCAGTAGATTTAAAACTAATTAAGGGAAATTATTATTCAATGTATAACTACCCTGTGCAATGTCTTGTCACAATATATGGCAAGCCAGGGTGTTAACAAGATTACAAAGACTCTTGTGTCTTTATGAATAATTAGTATCCCATATAAGCTTTGCCCTCTTGTCTTATGTTTAGCTCTTGCTAATTTGGAAGGGATGTGCGTGCACGTGGGAAGGCATAAGCCAAATTCCCATCAAGGTGAGGAAGAAATCCACCATGAATATAGTTTCTGGTTTCATGCACCGTAAGGGTTAGTTTAGGGGTTTCTCCTTGATTTCTGGCTCAGTGAGGATTGAAGCGAGGATCCTCCTGACATAATTCAAAGTGCGTCACCACTGGCTGTTTTACTGACAGCAGCTTGATAGCATTGTCAGTCCTGCTGCAAAGCAGTGCAGTCTGTCTCCTCGTCCCTCCTCCTCTTTCTCTGGTGTTTTGGGGGTCTCTGCACATATTGCCTTTCACAGTAATACTGAAGTGCCCTCTGTACAGGTACTTGCCTGCTTTGTGCACTTGACTTGCTGGCTTCCCCACATCTTGGCCACGCTTTCCCCGCACGCAGCTCTGGTGTATGATTATGCTTCCATCTCTTTATCTTTGCCTAAATATTGTACAAAATGCAGTTGGGGTGTAACAACTGTCAAATTGATTCTGTTGTGCTGAGTTAGTCCTGTTGATTTCACTGAGTGAGCGGCTGTGCTTTGTGAGCACGGGAATTTGGCTCCATATGCTGGCATTGTGATTACTTGGGTTTAATTAACAGCACATTACACCAGATTTCTGTTTGTATGCATATGGATCTGGGTCTGTGTAACGAATGACTGTGTAAAGGAAGAGGATGCCAATTAATTAGAGTTTAATTCCACTCCTCCCAAGGTAACGCTAGGGATGGAGTTGAATCAAACTCCCAGGTCCGGACACCCTCACAGTTTGCACGTGAATGTTGTTGCTTCATCTCCTAGCTCTGGTTATAACCTTGTGAACATTTTACTGTGGGGAACAGCCCTCAAGCAGCGTGATTTTGACCCAGACATTTCTTGAAGCATGGCTTCCACCCAAAGCAAGAGGCCGATCCAAAATGAAACGATGCGAGTGACATTCCTGAATGGGTCACTGTTGGCCAAATCAGTCAGTGTTGTAGTGAGCAGCTGTTTGTTGTCTTGCCAAGAGTACTCAGGAGGAAAGCCATCCAACCATGACACAGGCCTCCGGTATGAAAGTATTGCCAGTATGTTTTTGGCTGGCTGAACTTGAACATATCTGGAAATCACAGAATCATAAAAAAAATGAGGGCTGGAAGGGACATCAAGAGGTCACATCCAGTCCCACCCTCTGCTCAAAGCAGGAGCAGCCCCAGCTAAATCATCCCAGCCAAAGCTGTGTCTAGCCAGGTCTTGAAAACCTCCAAGGATGGAGAGTCCACCACCTCTCTGGGTAACTGGTTCCAGTGTTTTACTACCCTCCTCTTGAGAAAATTCTTCCTAATATCTAACTTAAACTTCCCTTGCTGCAACGGGAGCCCATTGCTCCTTGTCCTGTCATCTGCCCCCACTGAGTACAGAGCAGCTCCATCCTGGTTTGGAAATTGAAATTTATTGGAAGCACTTGTCCTCCTACCAAACTGCTCGGTCACCCTTGAGAGTAAAACTGGCCTTAAACTTTATCTGAAGTAGGATGCAAGAAGTCCAGATTAGAAACTGGCAGGTTTTGAGTTGACTTAATACATCTTTACTTTTTAATTTGTTTCCTCTCCTTATTGTAGGTTGCAATCAAACAGATGAATTTGCAGCAGCAGCCCAAGAAAGAGCTGATCATCAATGAAATCCTCGTCATGAGGGAAAATAAAAACCCCAACATTGTCAACTACCTGGACAGGTGGGCTCCGATTCCAGATCTGGCTATAGGGCCACTGACCATCCCTTTCCAAGGCGACTTTGCTTGAATTCAAACCAGGCTGATAAGTCATACACTTCATAGTTATTCTGCCACGCCAGTGGTGAGAGTCCGTTTCCTAAAAGACAGTCTTAAAAAAATCCTCTTTAGCACTTTAAGTTCCCTTTAAAGATGATGGCATCAAATGCTTTAGCAAGACTCAGGCAGGTTTCCACATTGCGCCCCTTTCCCTTGCTAAAATGCTGCCCTGTGAGCAATTTCCTCCCTGCCACCAGAAGAGAAATGGAAATTGAGCTGTGCCATTCGCCTTTGCTCTCTCTTCCGTTGGGGCTGTGATGTGAATGATGCTGGCATGCTCCAGTTGTGCAGAAATCTCCCTGCCAGGCTCCCAGGGTAGACTGTCCTGCTGGCTGTTTCTTACACTGATTTTTATTTCCAATCGAGCTCAGTTGGCTTGTTTCTTCCCTGACTCATAACACCATAATTGGCAATTATGGGGAAAAAACATGCCCTTGGCCCCTGATGAGGTGTGAGCAAAGTGCGGGGAAGGGAGGGAGCAGCTACAAGGAGATGCATTCCCCCTAAGCCATGCACTAGGGGCTGGGTCCAGTGGCAGCCCTGGTGCTTGCACGGCCCAAAGACTGCGCATAGCTAGAGCTCAGAGAGGCGCTAACTTCACTTCACTGGCAGCAGGACCTCTCCCTTCTCCGAGCCGATATTAAGTCAGTAAATGCAGGGAGGGAGAAGGAGTGTTAAAACCGGCTTGGTGCCAACCCCCTGGTGAGGTGGTCTCACCAGATACACATTAGCTATTAAACGACCCTTCCCTCCCAGACCTTCAGCTTTCATTTAAAAAAGACTTGCTTCTAGCCCTCCCGGCAGCAATCATAATCCTGACATGCAGCCACTGTACACATCACGACAGTGGCGTTTCCACTGACTGTAACGCTGCTAGGTTGAAAGCTTCTCTGGGGATTGTTATGGGGTGCTCCCACAAACTCACAGCATCAACTGTTTCTCTGTTCATTTTGCAGGAACATCCAATCCGTGTGATTTTCTTTTAGCTTCACCTGCCTTACTTGTGGCTGAAATCTTTTTAACTTTTCATCTGACAACTTCTAAGGAGCATATTAAGCTGTCAATAGAAAAATCCCTGGCTTACTGAAAGCTGGAAGTGTGGGGGTGTCATACAAAGACTCAAATTCTTGACTTTCAGGTGTTAGTGCAAAATAACTGCAAGAAGGCCTGTCACTTCCTAATAAAGCATTGAGGACTTTCCTTCCGTAAGCACAGGTTTATGATGATTGGTATTGATGTAGTGCTTTTTTTCCCCTTGGGGGACAAGAGGACATAGGATCTTAAAACACCTTCTGGGCCCGTCAGCACTCCTAAGATGCCTTAAAGAGGAGTTGGGCCTGATTCCCCCACCCAGACTTGTACTGAGAGAATCTTATTTTGGGACCCATTTTAGTAGGACTCTACAGCATGAATCAGGGTTGCCATATCTGACTTTAAATGACGTGCCCAAGGTCACATGGTGAATTGGTATCAGGGAACAGAATTTGGGTGCACTGACTCCAGCCCTGTATCTTAAACACAAGGCCTTTGTATGTCTGTAAAGTCTGCAGTGAACAGCTGAGTGACTAACACTATCTTACGCTGTGCGGAGAGATCGGAGTGATCTGGGGGAACCAGGCTGCTCCCTCTGATTTGCCTTTACTCCGCTGGAGCTGGCAGGAAGCACTAATTAATTCTGCATCCATGCCCCTTGTGTAAGATCTATCAATTATGTAGGTAGCCAGGCCCTGGCTCGCGCATGTGGCTGCTGATTGGCACAGCTTCACATTCGCAGCAGGGCTCTTGGCTGCCTGCATCAGCCGCTCACCAAGTCAGCCTCCAGCCAAGGCTAGCTGTGCTGTACAGCACGTGGGCTGTGCGAGGGTTTTCCGTTCTATTCTTCACCCTTGTTCTTGCTCTCGCTGTCCAGGCTATGAGGGCGCTTATGGCAGGGAAGGGAAAAGCAACTTCTCAGCCACCTTCGCTGATCTGGTGGGGGGTGTATCTGAAAGGAGAGGTATCCATTTATTTGGGAGGAGAGCGAGCAAGATCCACCAGCTTGTAAGTGAGAGAGGTAGTGTCCTTGAGGGTCTGTTTGGAGGAGCGTGACCCAACTTTCATGGGGCAAGCAGGGCATCTGAACTAACGAACGGTTTCATCCTTACAGTCCCTTCCTCGGTGCTGTGCAGAGCCACTGGCAGCTCAGCTCCTATAGCTATGAGATATACTGCTGAGGAACAGCGGGCGCCTGGAATCTGTCTACAGGCTATATTCTTTGCAGATACCCCTAAGTGAGTGTGCATCTGCACACGAGAGCCCTGTGCACCCTAGCTACACAGAAAAGGCTCATCGCACTAGGGTGCCCGATTCTGTGCTTAGGCCATTAGGCCCTATTTGTCCTCATTTAACTAGGGAGAATCCCCTTGATTCAAGTGTTTCAAGGTCTGTGCCACTTTGGAACAAAACCCCACTCCATTAAACAGTCCTACATAGCCTTCGAGTCATTGCTGTCTCTCTCAAACCCAAATTGTGCCTTAACCCATCTTGATCCTGCCTACAGGAAGTTTCTAGCTAATCACTGCCCAGGCCCTCACCTTGCTTTCTGTCCTTGACAAGTCCCCAAGATTTATTCGTGACTTTGAGTCTATCTGTTATCCTCTTGAAGATGCAGAAGGATTGATGCTTCTGATGAGGTCTGAGAGTCCCCCAAATGATACTAATGCAGTGTCAGCACCAGCACAGCAGCTTTTCACCTGATTCTGATCTTCTGTTTGTCTGTCTGTTGACCCTTGTCCACTTGCCAGCTCAGTTGGCTGCAAAAGCTTGTGCTGATAAAATGTGTATAGCTGAGGAGTTTTTCAGCCTCTTATAACTTAAAAAAATACAAAGGTAGGGGTGGGGGCAAGGAAAAAATGGGCATTGCTTTTTTCCCCCTATACTGAGCAGATCTTCTTGGTGCCAGATCTTTGAACTGGCCCAAGATACTCACAAACGTCTGTGTGGTTGCGCTGTGGTTTGTAATGCTGGGGAAGTCTGTTCACTATGCTGTGTGGGGAGGCAAGTGGCAAAGCACAGCTCTCAGAAAATGGGGGGTGACTAGACACAGGTGAACTGGTCACGGGTCTGCTCCCCCAGAAAATTTCAGGGAGTCATAGGATCAGAAAGTGAGGGCTGGAAGGGAGCTCAGGAGGTCACATCTAGTCCAACCCCCTGCTCAAAGCAGGACCAGCCCCAGTTAGATCATCCCAGCCAGGGCTTTGTCCAGCCTGGTTTTAAAAACCTCCAAGGATGGAGACTCCCCAGCCTCTCTGGGGAACCTGTTCCAGTGCTTTACTACTCTCCTGGTGACAGAGTTTTTCCTAATATCCAACCTAAACATCCCTTGTGGCAACTTGAGACCACTGCTCCTTGTTCTGTCATCTGCCACCACTGAGAACAGTTTTGCTCCATCCTGGTTGGGAGCCCCCCCAGGTACTTGAAAGCTGTTACGAAATCCCTGTTCAGTTTTCTCTTCATCCTGAGGTTGGCTTTGCTCATTGCAAACTGCTTCCCCTGCCACAGTGTCTACTGCAAGCTAGGAAATGTTGGTTGTGTGTCTGCTCCTTATGATGGATTAAAATCTGGGGTAAATTACTCTGTAGTAATAATCACACTGTACACCCACACCCTAACATTGTAAACCTATGGGATAGGGTTTGTCTTTTAGCTGTGTGTGTCCATCCAAGGCACACGATGTGCTTCATATCACTTGAGTACCGCATATGTATCTTCGACCTCAAGCACAGCTGAATTGGCTATTAGTGACTAGAGTCCAACGCTTTTAAAATAACTTTTCTCGAAGCTTATTTTAGCTATGGAAAAACTTTTTTTTTTCGACTTTTACAGTTACCTTGTAGGAGATGAGCTGTGGGTAGTTATGGAGTATTTGGCAGGAGGCTCCCTCACAGATGTTGTAACGGAGACCTGCATGGATGAAGGACAAATAGCAGCAGTGTGCCGAGAGGTGAGGTAACGCTCTGTAATTGAGAATGAATGGTATCAAATACATATTTAAAGGTTCCCATGAAGTGCCATTTTCTCAGCAGCACGACTGTGGCTTTGAACTGGGTATCTTTTATATTTCCACAGGCTGTATCTGAGCTGCCATAAAAATAGTCAGACCTAATTTAAGAAAAACAGTGAAATGAGAGCAGAATAGGCCAGCAACTATATACACAACCTGTGGTACAAATGTTCTCCAATTCTGGATTTACTCCTATCAATTACTTGGATTTTTGCATATCCACAAGCCTTTATGTAAAATAATCTTGCCTTTTAGTGTCTGTGGGGTGGCACATTCACTTGCCCTTGCTTAAAAATATTGTGGCACAAACAAGTTTTTGCCGTGATGGCAAAATCATTACTAGTCCAGTTCTGTGGCCTGTTATGCAAGTGGTCAGGCTAGATGACCTGTTGGTTTTACAAACTGTTATCTCAGTTACCTGCAATGATTGTGTTTCCCCATTGCATCATGATAATTCACTTTTATGCTGTATTAAATCTCTCCATTTACTTGCTCTGAGAGGCAAGTAAATCCAGGAGGATTATGAGCTAAGGAGAAACTTTTCATAGGCATGAATGGGGAATTAAGCATCCATCCTCCATTGGCTCTTAACGGGGGATAAGTGCCCAGTTGTCCCATGTGCCTCTGAAAGATCTTCCTCTCCAATCTCTGTGCAGTCCTGCAGTTTTGCTTTCCTCTTGCCCTGATGAATGATTGGCATTCCTGTTGTTTAAAACATGGAAATCTTAAGGCTTTGTTGTAGGCTCCAGAGTGCTGCTGGGGGTGGTATCACGTTGGCTGTGGACCCCGTCATCCTGGCGTAGTCCATACGTGTGAGCGGGGAGGTGTGCCAGAACCCAGACCTGGCCCCTGCGCAATACACATTGCCCTCTCTCCACTTGTGGGAGAAGGTCTTTTCCTTTTAAACAGCTAGAGCATCTTCCTCCCATCCATACACCTTTGAAGACTATGAACTGGGTAGAGAAGAGCCAGGAAAGCTCTGCTACCACCTGGGTTTTAATGGGGCAGCTCACTGCTAGTGAAGGATTTTTTTATTTTTTTTTTTCGTATAAATGCTGGGCTAGAAGGTGAACTTTCATTTTTACCCAGGATTTTTACAATCTTTCTCCAATGCCTGATGAAGTGTGTTTGTGCCTGAAAGCTTTCAATTAAAGACTTTGTTTTGCAAAAGTCTTCTTGGTCTAATAAAAGGTTCATCTCTACTATGAGTCCTGATTGGGATATTGTAGAGCCATTTGTTAGGGCTTCTGCAGCAAGACGGGGTCCTGCCAGAGGAACCCAGGAACAATGTTGTCTTTGTTCTTATTCAGCCTGACCTACTTCCCATAAACAACTCAACTGGAGACCGGCATGCTATTCATTTGAAAGTTTCTGGGGTGGTTTTTCTTTTCAGGGTCATCTCAGCTCTCCCCAGGTAGTCAGTGGGTCTCAGTCACTTGAGACCTCTAACCCCCCACCCCCAAAACTGACCCCTCCCCGCCAAAAATAACCAAACCCCAAAACAATCCCAGCATCATGTGGTAGCACATTAATGCCATAACTCTCATAACGATTCAGGTTCATTGATTATACCCTAATTGGCCTGATCTCCAATCACATGGATTGTCTTCCAGCAGAGAGACAGCTGTGTTAGTTAGCTGTGTTAGTCTGAAGCTGTGACACATAGTTTGCTGTGTTAGTCTGAAGTCAAGTAGGACCCAGGGTAGATTTACAGATTATAGGGGTAGTGTGGGTGTGTGCGGGTAATCTCTTGCTTATTTGCACGCATGCGCACATGCTTCAACCCGTGGAAGTTTTCTAAGCAGCAAATTGAGCTTTCAAGGGCTAAAGCTTCTGCAATATATAGATTTCTACTTTGGTTAGCCTATAAGGTGCAAATCTACCCTGCCTTCAAAATACCAGCATTGGCAAAGCCTATCTGATGTGGAGGTAAGATACATTGCCTAGGTTTATATAATTTTAAGCCTGCATTTGGAACACACTCTTTAGACTTGACTGATCAGTTGCTTTTTTTCCTAATGCTATTTTCTTAAGTTGTTGACAGGCTTTGATTCAAATTAAAACACTGTCTTGTGGCCTTTCTCACAGTGTCTTCAGGCTCTCGAATTCCTGCATTCAAGTCAAGTCATTCACCGGGACATCAAAAGTGACAACATACTGCTTGGCATGGATGGCTCTGTCAAACTAAGTATGCATAAGGGAGCTTGGGTGATGGCTTTAATTATCAGGCCGCAAATTAAAATGTGTATTGTCTTCTTGATGCATGGGGGTGGTACAAGGAGTATATCATTAATATTTGTCAAGTACTTCACCACTGTGCAGACCATAGACATGTTTATGTAGGTGTTAATGGGGCATCTGTTTGCATTAACGGAAGGTGCAACCATGAATCCCTGTGCCTTGAGATCATGGATTTTGATACGGGTGGGCTTTGTCCGAGTCAACCATTTTTTGTTTGGTGTATTTAATGTACCTTTGATCTAACCCAAAAAATCTTCTCCCTGCCCCAATTCATTATTTGTAGCCTAAGCAAATGTACTATGGAAAATGGTAAAGGGGGCAGGAAAGACAATATTATTTTTCAATTTAATGTAACTATTAGGTCTGCTTGGCACAACCTGGGCTCTAAGAGCTGACCTGGATTCTTTCCTCCGTGCACCTTGTCACCAATAATAAAGATTTTGCAACCACATCTGGCCCTTAGTTATACTGGGCTTACACAGGGGTGATTGCCGGGAGCCTAGCAAACAATTTTGTTAGTGCGTTAGGCAGAAATTAGTCCAGCTTCTCCTCACCTGGATGTATGCCTGTTCAAGGTTACCAGGAGACGCACATCTTCTTTTAGTCAATTAGACCAGCAGACACGACTCCTAAATCCACGCAGGGAATAGATCTGCTGAGTAAGGAGGTGCCATATTTTTTACATAATTGCTTCTCAGAGTGGAAAATGTTCCAGCAGAGTAACTATCCACCAAGCTATGAATAGCTACCTAGAGAGCCAGGTCTGCGATGGTCTGTGTTAGATAACAACAGCTCTTTCAAACTGCATTTTATTATCCGCTGTTTGTGGGCAGAGTTTGAAAAGTTTCTCTGAAAATAAAAGCCATGACCTTCCACATTGCAGTGGAGCCATTGAGACCAGCAAACTCCCTCAGGTTTACAAGCCAGAGATGGTTTTTCTTTTTGCTAGCGTTACTGTGAGCTGAGCCTGAGATCTGAAAAATAAGCTGAGAATCTTGTCCGAAACAAGGTCTGCAGTCAGAAGGTGGCTGGTAATCATGTTTATGGTGCATGAGACCAGGAGAGAAACCAGCTTGTGTTGCCTCTGTAGGGCTTACGGATGTTGACTTTTTACCTCTTGTTTTATGCAAAAAGAAAAAAAAAAGTCCATTTCTACAAAGCTGCTTTTGATCAGAAGAGCATGCTGTGTGCAAAAAGTACAGTGAGTTTTTTGGTGTTTTTTTTTTTTTTTTAGCTTGCACATAAATGTTCACACAGCACATCAAATGCAGATGGGTTGAATGACACTTCTAATGTGGAAACTGCATGTTGGCTGAAAGAGCACAGACAGTACAAGCTATTTTCATAATGCCAGATTGGAACTAGCACCCATTAACTTTTGTGGTGGTGTACATGCAGAATAAAAGCATGTCCTTTTTACATTTTCAAGGCACTGCAAGTGCAGCAGGATCTAGTTAATTCTTCACTCCAAGGGACTTGGTAATAACTAATTACTCATGAGTGACTCATTATCAGTAGTTCTCCATTTTCAACCATTTCCTGCTGAGTTTTGCAAGGTCTAGCAAGCCCCGGTAAAGAATGGCATTTGACATTTTTCCTTTGTGATAATATTATAAATATTCCAAGCTGAAGAGAGTATCCAGCACTTTTCGTGAGGATCAGCTGGCTTGATGAGTGCTATGGATGGCAGAGGTCACCTAATTAGCAGGTGCCACTCCATTGCAGTTGGTATGTGCATGGAAATGACTGTATTTTAACAGATGACATTAAGAAATCAATAGGACCCTGGTGGGATTTCAGTGCACCTACTAATAAGATCAAGATGTCAAGTTATTCCAGTGACTAATGAACCAGATTTTACTGTTGGTCAAATTTTACAGTGTCCCTGCAAAGGAACCGCTTCCCCCTTTCACACAGTGTCACAGGGTGCTGGCTTGAGTATGGGTCAGCTAGGGAATCAGGATGTGTCCAGTTTTGTCTTATGCTTTAGCCATGAAGCCTATGTACATTGCCTAGCTATAAGTTATCCAGAATAGGAAACTCCTTTTTCAGGTTTGTTTGAAACTTATGCTCTGGCATTAGCACATACATCGTATGGATAAACCAGCTGAGCTATAAGTAACCACACTCCCCACCATTTTCTTTCTTTTTTTTTTCTTTTCTTTTTTTTAACTTTAAAACTACCTTCTCCACCACATGACAGTTTCTCTCGCAGTAGGGGCTTCAGTCATGAGAAATGACTGTGTTACTTTGTGCCCCATAAGAAATCTTAAGGCCTGGTGTTAAAGCTATTCAAGCATAACAAGTTATATCCCAGCATGCTCACTGATTAGCTAGCTTCCATAACCATAAAGTCAACAATAATCTACCTACATGCCCTTTCTGCAGGTGGTTGACCTATAAATGTT